GTGACAAGGGACAAGGACAGGGACAAGGACAGAAACAGGGACAAGGACTGGAACAAGAACAAGGACAGGAACAGGGACAAGGACAGGGACAAGGGCAAGAACAGGGACAAGGACAAGCACAGTGACAAGGGACAAGGACAGGGACAAGAACAGGGACACGAACAGGGACAGTGACAAGGGACAAGGACAGGGACAAGGACAGTGACAAGGGACAAGGACAGTGCCAGGGACAAGGCCACGCTCCCCTCACCGATGAGGGCCACCTTGCTCTCCTTCATGGAATCCACCACCCGATCCAGCTTCTCCTCGGACGCCGTGTTCTGCACCTCGCTCAGGTGGTGCTCGTCAAAGATCACGGGGACATTGCCGGCCTGGCACGGGGACAGAGCCACCCATTGTCACTGTGGGACCCTCGGGGACACGGCAGGGGGGACACAGAGCCCTCAAGAGGCCAGGGGGAGCTCAGGGGAAGCAGGAAATCCTTGGGAAGGGGGATCGCTCCAGTGCCAAGGGAACGGTGACGGGGATGGAACCGTGGCCTATTTCCCTTGGGAAAGGCCTCTGAGGGACAGGCCACCGCTGGCATGTCCCCAAGTGCCACATGCACACAGGGCTGTTCAATCCCTGCAGGGATGGGCACTCCCCCACTGCCTTGGAGAGACATTTGTAGGAGGAATTTTCCCAATATCCGACCCAAATCCCTCTAGGAATGGGGACTCGCCCTCTGCCCGCGGGTGTCCAGTGGGGACAGAGGGCACAGGGACAATCAGGGACACTCAGGGACACTCAGGGACACCCAGGGACACTCAGGGACACTCAGGGACTCTCAGGGACACTCAGGGACATTCAGGGACATCCCTGATCCCAGAATTCCCTCTATCCCAATCCCAGAATCAGGGATGCCCAGGGACACTCAGGGACTCATGGGGACACTCAGGGACACTCAGGGACCCTCAAGGACACTCAGGGATGCTCGGGGACACCCAGGGACACCCAGGGACTCTTAGGGACATCCAGGACACTCAGGGACACCCAGGGATGTTCAGGGACACCGAGGGACTCTTAGGGACACCCAGGAATACTCAGGGACACTCAGAGACTCTCAGGGATGTTCAGGGACACTTGGGGACACCCAGGGACACTTGGGGACACCCAGGGCCAGCTGTCTGGTGTCCCCCTGGCCGTGGCCGTACCTTGAAGACCTCCTTGACGGCGTGCATCAGCTCCGGGCCCACGCCATCCCCCGGCAGCATCGTCACCTGGAATGTCCCCTCAGCCTTGGCACTGTGGGACTGCGGGGACACGGCGGGGTCACCCCAAAACCAGCCCCAAACCGGGGCCAGGGCACCCCCAGGGTCCAGCCCCACAGGGCCAGGGAACGCTCCGAGCTCTTAGGGGGTTATGGAACGGCTGTGCCGGGAAAGGCCCGGGGTCCCTTCATGTCCCCAAGTGCCACATCCACAGGTTTGGGAAATCCCTCCAAGGGATGGGGGCTCCACCCTGTCCTGGGCAGCTCTTTCCAGGAGGAAAATTCCCAATATCCCACCCAAACCTCGTCCCTTTGTCCTGTCCCTGCTCCTCTCTCCTGGCAGGAGTTGTGCAGAGCCACGGGGTCCCCCCTGATCCCCCTTTTCTCCGGGCTGAGCCCTCTTCCCGGCTCCCTCAGCCTCTCCTGGGGCTCCACTCCCTTCCCCAAATCCATTCCTTTCCCTGGACACGCTCCAGCACCTCCAGGCCTTGTCCTGTCAATCGCTGTCGCTGTCCTGAGGCCACCCCGGGGTGACGCCAGCCCCGAGCACACCCGACACCACCGAGAGACCTTCCCTGCACTCAGCACCTCCAGAAATAACCTCTCCCTCCATCCCGCGGAATTCCCGGCACAGCTCCGTGTTCCTCAACTCCCTCAGCACCTCCTGGAACCCCGGACAGCCCTTCTTAGCAGCAATTTCCCCAATATCCGACCCAAATCTCTCCGGGGATGGAGACTCCGCCCTTTTCTCCTCCCAGGAGGGATTTCCCCAATGGAAATTCCCCCATGGAATTCCCTCATTCCTGCTCCCCGCCCTCAGCATCTCATGGAATTTTGGACAGCCCAGAGCATCGTTCCTGGGGTGTTCCACACATCCCATTCCATCAGCCTCCCTCCCACTGCTCCCACCTTCCTCAGCCCAGAATTTGGGAGCTGCTCCCAGCAGGAATCTCCCAGATCCAGCCTGGGGGATCCACAGGGAATTCCCTCCCAGCAACGCCAGAGAAACTCTGGAATTCCAGTGGGAGCAGGGAAATGAGGGAGGGAGGGAAGGAAAGCCGAGAGTCACAAATTGGGCTGGAATCAAATTTCCAGGGCACAAACGGGGCTCCTGGGCAGGGATGAAATATCAGGAGGCGAAGCTGAGGGAAGGGCAGCCTCAAGGTCAGGCAGCTGCTCAGGGCCCAGCCCTTCCCTCAGCAACATTTCCCACGGAATCAGGGAATTTTCCGGCTGGGAAAAGCCTCAGAGACTCCCCCCAGCACTGCCAGGGCCACCATGACCGTGTCCCCAAGTGCCACATCCCCGTGGTGGTTAAACCCCACCAGCACCGGGAACTGCCCTTCCCAGCAAGGAAAATTCCCAATATCCCACCCGAACCTCCCTTGGCACAACTTGAGGCCGTTTCTTGTCCTCTCCCTTGTTCCCGACTCCCCACTCCTGTCCGGGACTTTTTGGGGAGCCCTGATCGCCCTTTTCCCCCCCAAATTCCGCCTTCCTCCCTCAGCCGCTGCTCACCTTGGCCTGGGCTTGCTGCAGGAGGGGGGCC